AAATGATCTTACAGTGTTTTAACTTCACATTTTTTATTTTTTTCTGTGCCATTATTTCTTACTCTGTTTGTACATTCTGCATCTCCCTAAAAGTTATTCTGCATTTACCTAATAGTTATTTTTTTGTCTTTCAGATCCCTTATAAAAGCAATCAAAACTATTTTTATTTATAAATATCTGCCTCTACTCATATTTCCTTTCCTGGAATTTCCTTCTCAAAAATTAGGAGATAGGAGATACATGCATTTGAAGTTTGTTTAATAATGGGAGAGTAGGTCTTAAAGCAAGAATCAATCCTATAATAGAATATTTTTTAAAATTTTCTTGGTTTTACAATATTGGAAAAAAGTTCACAAGTGACATTTGTTTGCAATCTATTTTAGGAGAAATATGGGGAATTGATGAGACTCAGAAAAACCAGAACAGACTTTTGAGACAAGTTGAAGATAAATTCAAGAAAACACTGACTGAAGAAAAAGTCAATAAATGTCATAAGAAATTTGCAAATGTATTTCCTCTGAACTCAGATTTTGTTCCTTCTGGACACAATCTCTATGAATATGACTTATTTGGAAAGTGTTTAGAACATAATTTTGACTGCCATAATAATTTGGAATGCCTTATAAGAAAGAAACATTGTGAATATATTGAACCTGTGAAATCATATGGTAATAGCTCATCTCTTCTTGGAGTAACCCCCTTTAAGTGTAATCATTGTGGAAAAGGCTTCCATCAAACATTGGACCTCATCAGACACCTGAGAATTCATACTGGAGAGAAGCCCTATGAATGTAGTAACTGTAGAAAAGCCTTCAGCCACAAAGAGAAACTTACTAAACATCATCAAATTCACAGTCAGGAGCAGTCTTTTGAATGTAACGAATGTGGGAAAGCTTTCATTAAAATGTCAAATCTCATTAGACATCAAAGAATTCATACTGGAGAGAAACCATATCCATGTAAGGAATGTGGGAAATCCTTCAGCCAGAAATCAAATCTCATTGATCATGAAAAAATTCATACTGGAGAGAAACCTTATGAATGTAATGAATGTGGAAAAGCCTTCAGCCAGAAACAAAGCCTCATTGCACATCAGAAAGTTCATACTGGGGAGAAACCTTATGCATGTAATGAATGTGGTAAGGCCTTTCCTCGAATTGCATCCCTTGCTCTGCATATGAGAAGTCATACGGGGGAAAAACCTTATAAATGTGATAAATGTGGGAAAGCCTTCTCTCAGTTTTCCATGCTTATTATACATGTTCGAATTCATACAGGTGAGAAACCTTATGAATGTAATGAGTGTGGAAAAGCCTTCTCTCAAAGCTCAGCCCTTACTGTACATATGAGAAGTCACACTGGTGAGAAACCCTACGAATGTAATGAATGTAGAAAAGCCTTCAGCCATAAGAAAAACTTCATTACACACCAGAAAATTCATACTAGAGAGAAACCTTATGAATGTAATGAATGTGGGAAGGCTTTCATTCAGATGTCAAATCTTGTTAGACACCAGAGAATTCATACTGGGGAAAAACCCTATATATGTAAGGAATGTGGGAAAGCCTTTAGCCAGAAATCAAATCTCATTGCTCATGAAAAAATTCATTCTGGAGAAAAACCCTATGAATGCAGTGAATGTGGTAAAGCCTTCAGCCAAAAGCAAAATTTTATTACACATCAGAAAGTTCATACTGGAGAGAAACCTTATGATTGTAATGAGTGTGGTAAAGCCTTCTCTCAAATTGCATCCCTTACTCTTCATTTGAGAAGTCACACAGGGGAAAAGCCTTATGAATGTGATAAATGTGGAAAAGCCTTCTCTCAGTGCTCACTGCTTAATTTACATATGAGAAGTCATACAGGTGAGAAGCCCTATGTATGTAATGAATGTGGAAAAGCCTTCTCTCAAAGAACTTCCCTTATTGTGCACATGAGAGGTCATACAGGTGAGAAACCCTATGAATGTAATAAATGTGGAAAAGCCTTCTCTCAAAGCTCATCCCTTACTATACATATACGAGGCCATACAGGTGAGAAACCCTTTGACTGTAGTAAGTGTGGAAAAGCATTCTCTCAAATCTCATCTCTTACTCTTCATATGAGAAAACATACAGGTGAAAAGCCTTATCACTGTAATGAATGTGGCAAGGCTTTCAGCCAAAAGTCACACCTTGTTAGACACCAGAGAATTCATACTCATTAGAAATCCTATGAATATTGTGAATATGGGAAAGCCTTTGGAAGGGATTAACACTTCATTGCACATTGCACAAATGGTTCTAGAGCAGAAAACTATGAATGTGGGAAAGCTGTCTGAAGAAGTCACAAATTTACAAAACAGAATTCTTACCAGGTTGAAAAATTACATAATGTAAAAGCTGATTATCTAAAACCTTAAGCAGACATTTTACTTATCCATAATATTTAATAAGAATTCTCATTAAAATCTGAAACAAGATATCTGGTATCAGCATATCAACATAATACTTGAACTCCCAGCCAATGTCTTAAGCAAGAAAAAGAAGATTGGGAAAAAAAGAGGAACTCTAAAAATAACCTTTTATACAAGAGATAGTTAATTGGAAAATGTGTAGATAGAAAATATCTAAGAATAAACAATGATTTATGAAACATGTATATAAAATTATCAAACATCTTGAAGGGCACAGAAGAACATTATGTCCCAAAAGACTTGACTTTGTAAAAATATAAGTTCTCTCCCAAATCTGTAAGTTTAATCTACTTACACTTAAAATTTACATCAGTTATATTTTAAAGCACTTCACAAACTGATTCAAAAATTTTATATGAAAAAGTAGAGGACACAAATAGCTGAAACAGATTTGAAAAAGCAAAACAAATAGGGAAGACACGCTCTATTATATATTATCCTATACTTATTTAAAGATGTCCTTTAAACTATATTGAGGGAATAAATTAATCAGTAAAAACAATAAATATTGAGGATTGATACAAAAATCGAAGAAATGGGAATTTTGTGTGTCATAATGCTATTGAAATCATTGTGGAATTAATGGCATATTCGATAAATGAAAGGTCCATATGAGAAAAAAGTTAGCTTTCTACCTTACCATATACAAAAATAAGATCCAAATAGATTGACGACCAGAATATCAAAAGCAAAATTCTCACACTATGATGAAAGTAGAATGTATTAGAGTAACAGATTTCCTTAAAAACCCATAAACATGGAAGAATTGATTCTATTTTGATGTTTTGGCCTCATAGGCACCCACATATGTGTGCAAAGAGATATATGTAACTGTTCACTGCATCATGGTTTGTCTAAGTTGGATATAAAAAATTTCCATCAATAGAGGCATAGATCAATACAGTGTGATTTTTTTCTTTGATAGAATACAGTATTTAGAAGACACAAAATTTACATACAGTTACATGGATAGATTGCAGCATATAATATCGAGAGAAAAACAAAATGCACAATGAAATATTGTATAACATTTGTATAATTTAATAGATGGTGCAAAGAACAGTACGGTGTATTGGTCATTGATCCATATATGACGTTGGTTGCCTTTTGGGATGCGGGAAAGATTTGCTGGGAGTTGTTATATTTACCTGTAATATTTATTTAATAAAAGAATGCAAGCAAATA